TTCAGGGCCGGGGATTTAGCTCAGGGGTTTTGCTGCCCGATGTCCAAGCACAAGGACCCGAGTTCGATCCCCGGTACCAAAAAAATAAAATAAAATAAAATAAAAATTTCAATCCCTGGTACCAAAAAAAAAATTTCAGCTTCACAATCGTACTATCCTGGCTGAGGACTTACATTGCCTGAGATGCCTGTGTTTAGCATATCCTCATCATTGAAGAGAGTTCTGTTGGACAATGCTGGGCTGGAACATTCTAGAAGGGTCTAGAAAGAGCCAACAGAGTAGTCACCAGCTGCATGTGGTGTTGTAGATTCAGATTCAGATTCTGTTGGCCACCAATGTCAGCACAGGCTGATGTGCTTGTTGAGAGGTGAGGTGTGCTGTGGCAGAAGCAGGACCCTGGGTGAGACCGAAGGAGCCTGGTGCTTTACCCCATTCCCCTTCCAACTTCCAACTGTGTCTCCTGGGACAGGCACTGTGATCTCCCCTCCAGTCTCTGCCATGTTGTCTCTCTCTGCCCTGGCCAGTAAACCAACAACTCTATGCGGCCTTGTGCACACACAATGCGGGCTGAACCCATCTCTCCCACCTCTTCCACTCTGCTTTCAATTCATCCACCTGTCCATCTATCTACGCATCCACCCACCCACCCATCCATTTGTCCATCTATCCACCCATCATCATTCACCCAGAATATAGGCATCTGTGGGCTGTGATGGAGGCCCAAGGGACCCTGCTGTTCCCTGCACCCCCATGTGCTATGTTCTGTGCTCACCTGCTGTGATTTGACCCTAATCAGGCCGAGCCCCTCTGTACAGATGTGGAAGTTGAAATCCGAGTGAGGTGCCAGGCCCAGGATTGCTTGGCAGAGACAGGTGGAGGCTGAGTTGGGGGGGAAGCAGGTGCATGACCCCAGAGCTGCACACAGAGGCACAATACCCATCCTGGGGACTTCTCAAGGGACCCCAACCTGTGCAGGTGGCAGGGCAGCATCCATACCTGGAGCCCACACCTCAGACACTAGGCTCCTGATGAGGTTCAGAACAGGGGGTTCTCACAGGCACTGGACTGGGGTCACCAAAGTGCCATGTCCCTGAGCCTCAAGGCTTGAGGGACAATGATGATGAGACTTGACATGGAATTCTCGGGCCAGGACTCAGCCATCTGCTTCCCTGGCTTTGTCTGGAAGTGCAGAGGCCAGAGGTGACAGCTCTTTGCCTGGGATTTGCTGCCCCAGCCCTTCCAGAAAACATGTCCAGTTCCATTTGCCTCAGCTTGCAGTGGTTTAAACGCCAAAGCAGAGCTGGCTGGGTCTTCTAATGGAAAGGTGGGGATGATCCTCCTTCAAGCATGGCTGGATCCAGGGCCACAACAGCCTCTGGTGCCCAGTCCTGGCTGCCTCCCAGGCTCTCCCCAGGGCAGGGGAAACTACAAGCTCCCCCTTCCAGCTTCATGACTCCTAAGCAGGGCACAGGATCACTGAGTGGGTGTCCCTGGACCTGCATGAAGTTCCCACGTCCTCCCCAAAGGCTCAGGCCAGGCTGGACTCAGGTTCAAGCCCTGGGCCAGTCCCTCCCTGGCCTGTGGCTGCATTGCTCCAATCTGTCTCCAAACGCAATTCTGCCCATCTCCCTGTGTGCCTCAAGACGCCCTCTTTCTTTCCTTCTGTCCTTCCTCCCTCTCTCCCTGCTTTCTTCCTCCTTTCTTTTTGTATTTTTTTCAAAAAAGAAAAAAAAAGGAACCCAGGGCTCACACTGAGCTGTAATCCCGGCCCTTTTTGATTTATTTATTTTTTTTGGTACCAGGGATCGAACTTGGGACATTGTGCTTTCGAGGCAGGTGGCAGAATCACTGAGCTAAATTCCCAGCCCAAGCCTTTTTGATTTTGAGAGAAGGTCCTGCTAAGTCTTTGAGTTGTCCAGGCTGGGCTCAAACTTTCAATCCTCCTGGCTCAGAGTACTGGGATTTATAGGAACACCTCACTACACCTGGCTTCCCTCTCTATGAGGACACCTGTCCCTGGATTTAGGGCTCACTCTAACTCAGGATGATTTCCTCTTAAGATCCTTAATCATATCTACAAAAGGCCTTTTCTCCAAATAAGCTCCCATTTGCAAGTTCCAGGTGACATTTTAATGGGGGGGGGGCGGAGTCCACCACTGCAGCTAGCCAAGCCTCCTGGAGCTCAAGGCTGGAGAGAAGTGGCACCCCTGTCCCACAGAAGGGGAGCTAGGCCAGGGCCCTGGCAGCGCTGGGCTCCAGCCCGATGTTGTCACCTCCGGCTGCCTCTTCCCTCCTTTGGCTTGGCCGTCAGCCGTCTGATGGCTCCTCCTGGAAGCTCCCCAGGCCTCCCCTCCTCAGGCACCCGGTTTTCCTAGCAGCTCTGCCCTGGGGCCCCTTCCCAAGCCAGCAGCCTCTGGGCAGGCACCCCAGGTCCCTGCCTTGTCCCCAGAGTAACCAGGCACCCTGTCCCATGTGCCAGTCCCAGGCTTCCTCCTGTCCTTTGAATTGGCAGCATCCACTGAAGGCCAATGTCCAGCCTGTGATTGTCCCTCCCCATCCCTGGGCTCAGTTCTGGCCCAGAAGAGCTGTCTTGTCCTTGGGGACATTCTGGAAGAGGGTCCCAGGCCTCAGTTTCCTCATATCCACAGTAGGGTGGGTTCCAGGCTACCCAGGGGGTTGGGCAAATGGCCTCATGAAACAGCTGGCTTCTGCCCCCCATGTGGAAGCCTCAGCTGTCCCTGGGGCTGGATGCCCACTGGGGTGAGTGGTACCTAAGCCTCGGGAAAGGGGTGCTGGCTGCACCCCACAACCCTGTCCCCTCTCTGGAATGAGACAGTGCCACCCACCCCACCCCACAGGGACACTGAGGGCTCTTGTGTAATAAAAAGACTTTATTAAGAAGGCTTTGAAGTCAAAAAATAAAACTCTTGATACAATTTTTTAACCTTTAAATCAGCTCAGCAAATATATAATCAGTAATTTAGCTGTGGAAGATTAAAGGTCCATTACTTTTATTTAAAATAAAATATATTTTAGTTCTTAAAATTTATTCCATAAAGTACACATTTCCCTATAAATTCCCTACATATACACAAGAGGTAAAAAGTAAAAGTTTAAAAAAAAACACTTTTAAAAAATTTTTTAAAAAAGACAACCAAAGCACAGCAGGAAGGGGATTCATAATTAGGGAGAAAAAAGAGAAATCTGTGTTCAGGAGCCCAGGACCCCACCCCCTGCCTCCCGGGGGGCCATGGGTAGCTGTGTACAAAACGGTAAACACGAACCCCAAAAGAGTTAAAAACGCCACCCTTCTTTCTGAAGTGTTGGGGTCATCTGAAACCGGCGGGCAAGAACACACTGTCAAATCTGAAGCAGCCACACACAAAGGGAAGACGATAAAGTTGTAAAAATCATGGGTTTTTTCATTTCTGTTTTTAAGGTCACCCTGGGAGAGGGAGGGCCCTAAGTAGAAAGTGCAAGGAGACCTCTTCTCTGTTTATTTGAACCTGTCCACTCAGTACTGTCACTTGTCAGGAACTGAGGTGTCACAGCTGGGCCGCTGGCTGACCGCCCCCACGCCTGGCTGAGGAGTTAAAGCCATTTCTGGACACTGAGTGGCCCCGGGCCTGACCCTCACCCTATTCGCCCCCCCCCCCGCCCCCAGCAACCTCCCACCCTGGGCAGAGGCCCTTGGAGAGGTCACGGCCACCACGCCCTGGGGCCCGCGCTAGGAAAAGATATGAATGGCCTGCGTGGCTGGTGTGCGGCAGGCAGGACACTCAGGCTGGCTGCGGCCACAGATGCGGACGGCGCAGTCCATGCAGAAGAGGTTGTGGCCGCAGGGGACCAGCGCAGCCATGGCCTCGCCCTCGGTGCACACCACGCACTCGCGGGCCAGGGCGGCGGTGGGCGGGCCGGGGACTGCGGGCGCCGAGGGTGCAGAGGTTGTCCCTGAGGACTTGCGGTTGCCATCGGAAGCGCTCGCGTCCAGCGAGGTGGGTGCAGAGAAGCCAGTGCCACTGGAAAAGGGCGGCAGGGTGCCATGTGGGGGTCGCCAAGGGAGCGTGCACACTGGGTCCGGGGCGCCCCTGCGTGCCAGAGGGAGCTCCAGGCCCAGGCCACTGCCAGTGCCGGGCTCGGGCAGCGTGGGCGAGTGGCGAGGGGTGGCCGTCCCGCTGCCTCGCCGCGCCCCCGCCGGAGGTGGCCCGGGGGTCCCGTTGACGGCTGCACAGCCACTGAAGGTGGGCAGGGGGGGCGGGGCGCGCTCGAAAGGTGCCCAGATGGTGGCCGCGGTGGGCACAGTGAGGTCAAGGGCCAGGAAGTCAAACCCAAAGTCGCAGTCCTCGGGCGCGGGAGTCCCCGTGCTATCCCCGGCGAACGTGAAACCCCCATTGCCGGAGCTGCTGTAGGGGCTGGCGGGGCCCGGGTCTGGCCCTGGTGGCCCCACTCGGCCGCCTGCGTAAAAGGCGTCGGGTGCGCCCAGGGCATTGTCTCCGCGGAGCCCGCCAGTGGCTGTGGCTGCGGGGGGCCGCCGCCCCGGGTGAGGGGCCTTAGCCCAGAGTCCGGCGGTGGCGCCCAGCAGGTCTAGGCAGACGTCGGTGCCATTGGCGTGGAAGTCGCTGTCCGGGCCCGAGTCCGTGAAGGCACCCGTGCGCAGCGTGATGTGCGCCTCGATCTCCTCGCGAGCGCGGTCCACGTTCTCGGGCATCCCCGTCACCGCGAACACGGGCTCCTTGTCACGCCCGGGTGTCACGATGTAGGTGTGTGTCCGCTGCTGGATGCGCTTGATGGTGGCGCCCTTGGGCCCCACCACCAAGCCCACCACACGGTAGGGCACGCGCACCTGGATGGTGGTCTGTCCCGGCAGGTTGGGGGGCCCTGGGGCGGCACCCGGCAGTCCACCTGCCTTGCCGCGAGAGGCCCGGATCAGGGAGAAGTGCTCGGCGGCCGACAGGATCTCCCGCTTGGCCATCTCCACATCCTCTTTGCGGCCGGTCACGATGAACACCGGCTCCTCCCCGCGCACCGGAGTCTTGATGTATGTGTTGGTCTTGGCGCGAAGGGCCTTGATCTTGCAGCCTGTGGGGAGAGGCAGGGGACATGCTGACCCTCTGCCCAGGACAGCCCCACAGGAAAGCTGGCTGCAGGGCCAGTGGGTGTGCCCAACTCAGGAGACCCCAGCTGTTTAACCTCCTACCCGGAGCCTCAGTTTCCCCTCTGGGCCCCAAGGGACGGCAAAGCAAGATGGACCCGTGGTAAATCGCCCATCATTCATGTCCAGCTGGAACTTCAGAATGGGACTGCTGCAGTCAGAATGAATGCACCTTTCACCTCCCCCAGGTTCAGAGATGGCAATGATACCCAGTGTGGCGGCGCTATTAAGAGGTGGGGCCTCGGGAGGTCAGACAGGAGGGTGCCACCTCCTGAATGCCATGAGCGCCCTGATAAGAGAGGCGCCAGGTGGCTCCCTCACCCCTTCCAGTGTGAGGACACATAAAAGGCGCCATCTAGCCAGGCATGGTGTCACAGACCTGTCATCCCACCACTTAGGAAGGCTGAGGCAGGAGGATCACAAGTTTGACCCCAGCCTGGACAACCTAGCCAGACCCTGTCAAGAAGAAAAGAAAAGCCGGGGATTTAGCTCAGTGGTTTTGCTGCCTGCTGTGCAAGCGCAAGGACCCAAGTTCGATCCCCGGTATCAAAAGAAAAGAAAAAAAAAACAATTGGGCAGGGGATGTAGCTCAGTGGCACCTTGCCTGCCAGGGAAGCACAAGGTCCAGAGTTCAATCCCCGGTACAGAGAAAGGGAGAAAAAAAAAAAATTAAAGAAAGGTTAGCAATGTATGAAAGTCCTGGGTTCAATCCCCAGTACCAAAGTGGAGTGGGGGCAAAGAGACAGGCAGACAGAGAGGCAGACAGACAGCACCATCGATGAGGAAGGGACCCTCAGAGATGCCAGATCTGCTAGTGCCTTGATCCTGGACTTTCCAGCTTCTGGAACCCTAAGTCCCAACGTGTTCCTGCCTTGGCAAGTTACCCAGTGGAAGATACTTTGTTACAGCAGCAGGAAGTGACAATACACAATACAGGTCCTTGCAGGTGTGATTAGTTAAAATGTAGTCACACCGTATGGGGCAGAGTGGACCTCTAATACAGCAAGACTGCATCTTCGTAAGAGGAGAACAGACACAGCCAGGTGATAACGGCGACTGGGGTGACACATTAAACAAGGGAAGGGACACCAAGAGTGACAACGCTGCTTGGAACTGAAGAGGTGGGAAGGATCCAGCATGCCCAGGCCCTGACCACCTCATCTTCAACCTATGAGGTCACCCAGGAGCAGCAGACCCAGATCAACACAGTCCCTCGACTCCAGGCCGGCCACCACCTACAGTTCTTATGACCAAGACCTCACCAGGCCTGAGGGGATCTGGAGTCTCAGCCCGATGGAACACTCCTGGGCTGGGCCTTGGTCACCTCAAAAGGCCCAGGTGGGTCCCTGAGGGGACGCTGGGGTGACCACATAGAGGCTCAGGGGCGGGGACAAGAGTAACAGTGTGGCCAAAGTCTCCACAAGGAGAAGATACAAACCTAGGAGGCTGTTTCTCCCCGCCCCCCTCACCCCGGGAGCCGGGGATGGAACCCACAGCCTCCGCACAGAGCCACACCTCCAGCTCTTTTTTTAAATTTTGAGACAGGGTCTCACTAAGTCACTAAGTTGCTCAGGCTGGGCTCAAATTTGTGATCTGTCAGCCTCCCAGAGTGCTAAGGACGACAGACCAGCACTTTTGACAAGAGGTCACAGAGACTAGGCCAGGAAGACAGGGAGGGCCCAAGGGCTCAGCAGAGGGGCAACAGGAGGAGACAAGAGGCAGACACTTCAAGAGCCACTGGGACCCCTTCACTCCGAGCTTTGATTGGGGCTGGTGGTCACACGTATCCTAGGAGGCTGGCCAGCCTTCCTGCCCTCTCTGGATCCTGGCTGCTCCCCTCACACCCTGAGTCTTCCCCAACTTTTGAGGTTCTGGTGCTAAATGAGCTGTTACTCTGTCATCCAAGCCCACCCAGCACCTCCCCCCTCGTGACCCGCTCGGCAGCCAGGCAGGTGCCACCAGGTGAAAGGTGGGCCTCCTGGCATGGTCCTCTCATGAATGACATGAAAATGGGGGGTGGAGGGAGCTGGGGAGGGGGGCTGAGATGGCAGCTCCGGGTCTGTCCAAGCCACAGCCAAGGGGCTCCAGGACGGCTGGGCTCTGGCTGCTAGGTCCCTGGCCCAAGTCCACTGACACCCAAGAGGTGGCCAGGACACCACCTGGGACATAAAACCATGGCGCCAGAAGTGGGCCCACCATACCCCTGCCCCAAGGGGCAAGAGTGGGTGGTGCACACCTAAGATCCCAGGACTCAGGAGGCTGGGGCAGGGGGATCATCACAAGTTCAAGGCCAGCCTGGGCTACAGAGTGAGTTCAAGGCTGGCCTGAACTGTACAGCAAGACCCTGAGTCAAAGAAGCCAAGAATAAATAAATAAAAATAAACCCACTTGCGACAGGCCCCTTGGAAGGAACGAGACTGGGAACTGAGGAAGAAGCCGAGGTCACACCCATTGGGGAGTGCACAGTGGCCTCCGGGGTGACCTTTTCCGACCCACTGGGTGTTTCCACTATCCAACTCCTAAGAGGCAGTGAGCAGTGGGAGGGTCAGAAGGATCATTAAGAGTTCAAGGTTAATGTGGGCACACAGTGAGTTCAAGGCCAGCCTGGACGACATAGGAAGATCCTGTCTCAAAAAATCAAAACCAGGGCTGGGGATTTAGCTCAGTGGTTCTGCTGCCTGCCTCAAAAGTGCCAGGTCCCAAGTTGGGTCCCCGGTACCCCCCCCAAAACCAAAACCAAAACAAACAAAAAAGTAAAGATCACAGGGCATAGTGGCGCACACCTGTAATCCCAGCAATTGGGAGGCTGAGGCAGGAGGATCACTTTGAGTTCAAGGCCAGCCTGGGATACATAGTGAGTTAAGGGCAGCAGCCTGAACTACAAAGTGAGCCCTTGTTACAAAAAAAAAAAAAAAAAAAAAAAAAGAGAGAGAGAGAAAAGAAAAGAAAAGAAAAGAAAAGAAAAGAAAAGAAAGACAAATGGATCCATCTAGGTTCAGTGGTGAGTGCTTGCCCTGGGCTCAATCCCTAGTGCCAATTGAAAGGTCCAGGAGGAGGATAAAAGACAAAAAATGCTTCCTGCACAAGGCACCTCCAGGGCCTCCTTAGGCTGGAGAGAGCTCACAGGGACTGCACTATGCTCTGTCCAGCAAGCACCAGAGGCCATTCTGGGATGGAGAAAACAAAGGGTCACAACAGCGTGTGTGCGTGCGTGCGTGCGTGCGTGCGTGTGTGTGTGTGTGTGCAAGGGCTATCCCTGGGTGAACTCTGTCCTCCAGGGGAAGAGGTGTCCTTGGTCTTGGGATTCAAGAGAAAAGAAGGCCTGGGTGGGGTGCATGGATCCCCTAGAGACTTGGCTGAGGTGGAAAAGCTGGGAGCCACAGATGGTTCTGGAGCTGGGGAGAATCAAGAGCTGCATTTCACCTTCCCTCCTTGGGACCCTACATCCCTTACAGGGTACAGTACTGTGACCCAGAGCCAGAATGAAAACCAGTATCTTGTTTGACTGTCCTCAAAACAACCCAGGGGAGATGCTGTCACATCAGAGTGGCTGCCACTTGCTCAGGATCACAGTGCCATTCCAGTGTGTGGGGTGAGCACTTCTGGCTTGCTTTCTGTTGCCTGTGAGACCAGCTTATGGTGGCAAAGATAAATACACATCCTCGGCGGAGGCCAAGGGGCCAGATGCCCTCACCCCAACCCCTCACCACCTTGGGTGGCTGCAGATCTCAGGACGTGAGCATTCACACAGAACCAAAGAACACACTCTCTCCCTCCCTCCACCCAGAGCCTGGGTCTGGTGACTTTGCAGAAAAGACCCCAAGCCTTGGTTTGTGCCTCTAATCCCACAGCTTTGGCACTCAACTCCCCAACCCACTGTCCTGTAATTTATCCTGGCGCAGTTACTGGGGACACGGACAGGAGGGCACCCAATAGGGAAGCCAGCAACGGGGTGGTGGAAGGAGCTGTCTAGACTAGGGTCTTGGGTCCCTGCGCACTGGGACACCCACCTGTCCCCTCCCCAACTGCCACTCCTCAGAGTGCATCCCCAGGCCTGGCAGAATGCCACCCTTCCATGTGTCCCCTTGTGTGGTGGACAAATGACTGAAAGACAGAAGGTTGGCTGACCAGCTGCCCCACCCACCTGGAGCTAGAGAAGGATGACAGTGAGACCCGAATCCCTGCGGTCCCAGCTGCCTCAAGGGTGACACGTGACCTTGCAGTTCAAGTACCCCACACCCTTCTGTGGCTCGGTTCCTGGGGGGTCCAGCGCCCATTCCCCTCCCCCAGCCTGAGTGTCTCTGCAGCCCCACCTCCTGCCCTGCCCAGGCCCCACCCTAAGTTTTAGAACCCCGCAGATCACAGGTGGTCATTGGGCAGCAGGGCGGGGAGAGGCAGATGGGAAGGCGGGAGAAAGTTGGGGCCGGTGGGGTGAACCGGTGGGGTGAACTGTAGGGTGAACCGGACGGTGGGTGTGTGCTGGGTCGGGCACTGCCCACCACCCACTCGCCCGCCCAGCAGCTCGAGGGCCAATGAGGATCGGCCAGCCTGATGTCACCCTGCGAATCTCAGCCTGGCTCTCTAACAAAGAGAACAATGGGGCGGGCAACAGGGGCCACTCCAACAATGTCGCTGCCGGGACCCCCGCGCCCTAGGAAAGCCTGGGGCCGGTTGCCACCGAGGGACATGGGTGCGCCCTAAAGCAGCTGCCGCAGGCAGAGCTTCTACCTGCCCCAGATCCCTGAGCGGGTACAGCGTGGGGCGCCCCCCACCCCATCGGGACCCTAGGCCGGCGCATCGGCATGTCTTCTTTGTGCACCCCCACCCCAGACTTCGCTCCTCACCCTGCGGGCACCCTCCCTAAGCTGCCCCTAAACCTGAGTTCGCCCCGCCCAAGCCTGCTAGGTGTGGAGCGCCCACCGCCCAGCCAGTCCCCAGGCTGCCCAGGGCCAGGTCCCTCCCCCGGGTGTCCCCGCGAACGCCCGGGGGGGGGGTGGACAGCGGGAGCCTCGGTGGAGACAAAGGCGACGGCGGGCAGAGCGTGCGGGGCGGAGCGCGGGCTGGGTGCAACTTTCTCCCTCGGTGGGACAAAGGCGCAAAGGCGGCCACCCGGGCTGGGCCCAAGCGGGGCGTGGCCGGGGTCCGCGTGCAGCGTCCGGCTGCGGGAGGACCTGGGGCCAGGGGTGGGTGCCCCCGTCCCGGGATGTGAGGGGCCTAGCGCAAGCCCCACTGTCCCCCGACGGCGGCCACTCACCCTGGCGCCCCACGATCTCGGCGACGTGCTCGGAGCTCGGTACCGGCACGCACTCGGTCATGTTCACGCTCTTCTTTCGGCTGCCGATCACGCTCAGCGGCTCAGCCAGCAGCGCCGGGGCACCCAGGGCGGCGGGGTGCGGGGCGAAGCCCGCGAACACGTCGGGCGCGGGCGGCGGCGGCGCGGGGGGGCTCCCGTCCGGCTCCACCCGCGGCAGTGCCTCGCACCCGTCGGGGGGCGCGGGCTCGGGCTCCCCGCCGTCCGCGCCGTCGGTGCCCGGGGCCCCCGCACGCCCGAGCCCCAGCGCCGACAGCTGATCCAGCGCCAAGCGCAGCGCGGCGGCCGCGTCGTCGGGCTCGGGCGACGGCCGGGGCGCGGCCTCTTCGGCGCCTGGGACC